TCTGATGGGTCGAGTCTAATGGGCGATTTGGTCAATATGTAGATCTAATCTCAAATCTAAAATGTACATTCACTGCCTCTCTCGTTATCCCCCCCCCCCCTCTCACTTCTGTTGTGCCATACGGCCCTAGACCTAGCCTTCTCATTATTGCCTAGCCTAGGCCTTTCACCTGCTTCGCTTGTTCCGATTGATTAGCCTTGCCTATGCCTTGCATACAGAATAGAGTTCAGAATACGAGGCCAGGTCTAGCCTAGCTTAAATATCTAGATCTAGGCCTAGGCCTAAACCTAAACCAAAGCCTAGGCCTAGGCAAGGCCTAGCACTGCAGCAAGTTGCGGTCACGTTATCAATCAAACGTTTGCTCCATGAGTCATAGACCGGTGAGACTTCTTATCCAATCAGATCTCTCGTCAACCCGATTCGCTTCGCACATTCGCGGAGAGGGAGGCAAGGCGCTGTGTTGTCCGGACCCAACGGCCAACACAGTGGCTGTGTGTGTGGTAGGCTAGCCTAGCCAAGCACAGCGCCGTGCACTAAGCTGAAGCTCAGTCTTGATGTGTCTTGTGCTTTTTGCAACTCGGAACCACCTTTCTCCCAACTGTGTTTTTTCCTGGTGACTTAGATTCTAGCCTACAACAGTAGGCCTACAAGGCGACAACGAGATCTACAAGCTGTTCTTAGATTGTGTTGGGTTGATATTTGGATTAGCAACTTTTCAAATCAGGAAGTGCTATCAAATCATCTGCTGACACAGGTCTGATCAGTTGCCTCTGAAAACTCGACTTGAACCCAAACGCCAAGGCCAAGGCTTGTTTTCAATTTTTTAAAGTGTGTTGAGAGTTAAAAATCTAGATCTAGATCTAGAATCTAGATCTAGATCTAGATTTAGATATCTAGATTCTAGATCTAAATCTAGATAGATCTATAGCCTAGATTTTAGATTCGTGCTCGGTGTCCGTTTTGCCTTGCTTTATTTTGGTGACTCAAAAAGAACATCCGTTTTGACTGATGTGTGTGTAAACTTGAAAAGAACATCCGTTTTGACTGATGTGTGTGTAAACTTGACGAGATATCTAGATCTAGACTAGCCTAGATATAGATCTAGATATAGATCTAGCCTATGTTTTCTCTCTCAGCCTAGGCTAGCATGATCGATTGTTGACGCCTGACGCTCGTTGATGTACTGCTACGACCCAGTGCCGCGGGTGGCCAGCTAAAATGCCTCCGCAAACGCCCGTTATGGATCCTAACACAAACTTGTTGCCAGATTCCGATTCCAATAGCTGTTTGTCAGGGCAGTCGACACAGCCCTCAGCTAAAGAGCCAGCAGCAAATGCTACTAATAGTGCCAGATCTAGATCTAGATCAAGTAGCGCATCATCCTCCAAAGTGAAGTGTGTACTAGTAGGAGATGGTGCTGTGGGAAAGACTAGTCTCATTGTGAGCTACACGACAAATGGTTATCCAATGGAATACATGCCCACAGCTTTTGATGACTACTCTGGTGAGTAGGCCTATGCTAATTAGCCTTTTAGATATTCTATACTATAGGCATCTATGACTAGGCTATAGCCTTGAGATGGAATCTAGAAATCTAGTTTTATCTCCATTTATAGGCTATAGGGCCTGGCCTAGCCTATCGATTCTTTAATAATTTTATTGTAATAATAGTCTTGTGACTACGATTTAAGTCTTAATTCCAACAAAGTGTATACAGACCCGGTAACCGGGAACAAAGTCACGAAGTATACAGACCCGGTAGGGGAACTCTTTTGTGATTTCGGAGGGTTTCAGCGCCCAGACCCGGTAGTGTGTGTGTGTGTGTGTGTGTGTGTGAGTTAGAGAGAGAGAGAGAGAGAGCAGGGGGAAGTGCTAGCAAAATGTATATATATATAATATGACATGCCCGCCAGTTGGCAGGAGGGAACGAAAGACAGAGACAAACAAAGAAAAAAAGAATGCGAGCGATACAGAGAGAGAGAGAGAGAGAGGGAGCGAGAGAGAGAGGGAGCGAGAGAGAGACTGCTCGATTGAAATTATGACATTGTTCTTTTCTTCAAATTGTGATTCCTCCAAGTCCAAAACAGGGGAAAAAACGATCGTTCATCGAAAAGACATCCGCAATCTTCATTTAGTTTTAGATCTAGGCTAGCCTCGAAACTAGATCAATGATTTATATCTTTGTGTCTAGATCTAGACCTAGGCCATAGATCTAGAAGAACCTAGTTCTACCCTGAGCCAAGAGGGTGCTGAAACTTTCCGAAATCACAAAAGAGTTCCCCTACCCGGTCTGTATACTTCGTGACTTTATTCCCGGTTACCGGATCTGTATACACTCCCTAATTCCAAATGCTCCTGGATCACGAATCGGTCAATTAAAAAAAGGAAGTGTAGATCTAGATTCTAATCTAGATCTAGATCTAGATCTAGAATCTAGATAGACAAGATCTAAAATCGGCGATTGTTAAGATTTCCGCGTTAAATTCTGATACTAGTTTTATAGGCTAGAGACAGCTGACAGCTTCCGGGAGGAAACGAGAATGTTTTTTCGCACACTTTCCGCGTTAAATTCGGATCGTTTTATTAACTTACCATTAAACAGAGTAATCCAATCCAAAAATGAAATCCAATACAGAATATTGCCAAAAATGTTTTCCTTAAATTGTTGCTTCCACATAAATTCTTGTCAATATGAATAAAAGAGTTTGTCAGATGTCCCGTGCATTGAACGGTATTTTGCTTTTGCGTTGGCCCAACACCCTTCGATGCGATTGGTGTGGACAGTGGGATCATTCGGGTCCACAAAATGGAGAGAATGGTTGACTGCTAAGTGATTTGGCAGTTGGTTGTATGCTGCCCACATGTCAGTTATTATTGTAGTGCCTGGACCGACGTGCTGCTGGATGAGGGGGATCAATGTTGCTGCTGACCTGTCCTCAACAGGAATGAGGACACAGTGGTTAGATTCTTGTTCAATCATTCCGAGAACCCAATGGCCCTCTCTGTATGCTCCTCTATGATACTTTTTCTGTGCATAAATTTGCTCTCATCCACTTCAACCGTTTTGTTTTGACCTCCTAGCTGCACTGGAACTGGATGATCTATAAGATACTGCGCACAGATCTCTGATAAAATTCTGCCAGTCTATGACCGTTGGTCGACTCACACCAGTTTCCTTGCAGACAAAATGCTGACGTACATCATCAGACCAAAGGTAAATAATGTCCAACAACTGCGTAAGACTCAGATGAGATCCTTCAAAAAATGAATTAGCCCTTAAGTGTCTTTGTCTCCGACATTGTTTGCAGGACCAGGCATATCCATCAACGAATTCTGCACCTTGACGCTGCTGGAATGACATAAGAACTTCACAGTTTGGGCATGTGAACGTATTGGCAATCAAACAATGTCTTGCTAGCCAACGAATACAATCCAAATTGTTTGCAGTATAGTAAGAATTGATAATTCACGATAAGAAATATCAATATTTTGGAGATTATCCGCAGGTAAACACACATCAACGATCCTGATTGGGGCTGCAGGTCTCCCACGTCGGGCTGCCATTTTCAAAGAAAGTGTGCGAAAAAATATTCTCGTATCCTCCCGGAAGCTTTCTCTAGCCAAAAAACAAGTATCGGAATGTAACGCGGAAATCTTAACAATCGCCCTAAAATCTATCTAGATCTAGATCTAGATTCTAGATCTAGATCAAGATCTGGATCTAATTGTAATTATAGGCCTAGATTTCGGTGCTTTTTCGGTAGTTCCCACCCCCCTTATTGAGCCTAGATCTAATCTACATGATCTAAAATCTATCTAGATCTAGATCTACATTTGATGCGCGGCGAGCTAAGATATATCAAACCTAACAACTGCAAAACATCAAATTATGGATGCCCCCCGGAAACCCCTCACCTTATTTTTACGAAGTGACTATTTCTCAGAACGTTCGGAGAAATAGTGCCGATCTTTATATCTCCGAACGGTTTCCGGCTTCCGGTCTCGTGATTTTTTGCCTATTTATTGCGAGAGTTCGGCGCTAACTTTCATTCTGCCTCTGGTCTGTGAAGGAACACCTCATGGCAAGCCTGCCTTCAGACAACTTTCAGTTACACCCACCACACACCTACCACCAACACACAAACTTATACACACACTAACTAAACATGATCAGTGGGCAACTTTTGAACATATGACGAGCTGAGCTGTGGATGGAGAGACAGTGTGAGTGACAGAGCAGGTGAAAGGAAGAATGTACGAGTGTATCCACAGGCGACAGCAACTACAAGGCGACGACACCGACCCCCTCTGGCCTGGTCCACAGCTCACGAACGAAAGGAATGTGGCTAAGGCAGTAGGCAGTGTTTTGCTAAATATATTATTGTCCATGGTTCGCAGGGTGCTGGGGAATGAGTGAGATTTTCTTTGTGTGTGCCTGGAGGGAGGTGGGATGTGAAAGTCATGCAGACGGGGATGAGCCGCGGGAGAGAACACGGGAACTCAATGAATGAGTGAAACTGAAAGAGAGGAACGACTCATGAGCCCTGGAGTGAATGGATCCTGTGTGTCTCTTTTTGTATACTTTGAACTGTTACTGAATAAAGGCTGAAATAAAGCCCGAAAAACAAACACACACATGCTCCTCACTCTCCACTTAAACACTTAATACTACCACACACAGACACACGCACATGTATTCACACACACACACACACACACAGGAGCAAATTTTTAGGTCTAGATCTATCTATTTCAATTTTCAAGAGCTTGTCTAGAGATTTTTAGATGAGTGTGAAAACGTGAAAAAGAAAGTAGAAAGGTTTCACAACCAAATGAAATCAAAATTAGAACAGCCCATATACAACCACAAAAATTAACAAATAAGGCCGTGAGTCCACCTGTCCGAAGAAGATTGGCTGTTTTAATCCTAAATGTGCGTAATTTTAAAACAAAGTACAGGATATTACATGTAAATTATGGAATCACACACTTTAAGGGGCCTGCCAGTGTCAGTACATGGTAATCGGTTTTGGTGGAACGTACTCTCTAACATAACACATTTAAATATATATATATATATATATATATATATATTATATACAGAGCTGGTAGTAACGGAGTACAAGTACTCCGGTACTTTTACTTACGTTACAATTTTCGACACTTTTACTGTACTCCGGTACATTTTTTAAACCAGTACTTTTACTGTACTCCGATACTTTTTATAAAAGTACTTTTGAGTATTTTTAAAGTACATTTTGAGTACTTTGGTAGCTTAATGAAAGGGTAAGTGCAGGCATTTCTGATCATAATTTACGGAACAAAAACCCGATCAACCGCCAAGAGTTAAAAGTTGAGATCAAAGAACGGCCCGTCGCCTCAAAGATCAACCACTATCGTGAATGTGATCACAAGCATTGTAAAACTCCTTGAAACGGTACAGTGTTTGCTCCAGACGGGATCACACCAAGGTGTGAACTGACCGATTCGTCTCTTTTCCCCATATATCGCACTCGCATGTGACCTCACCACCTAAACTTACATCACTCCCTGGGTGGGTAGGGCCTACAAGTTCGCTCCAGGCGGGATCACATCAAACTGTGAACTCTTCCCTGACCATTGAAAGCAGTTTTTCTCTATTCCCGAATTTGCGAGACAACCTGAATTTTAATTGGTGTGGTCACAACGTAATGGTGCGTAACGACAAAGGAGGTTGGAGGGGGGGGGGGGGAACTCAATCAGAGATGGAAAGCTAAAATTGTTGGACAAGTAAAGGGGAGGGGCAACTGGATAAACGTAGATAAAGATCTCAAGACTCACGATAGGCTAATGAGTGTGTATATATATAATATTATTTATGGCGTGCCTCATGCCACTGTGATTGGTCATCAGGGTTGACCACTCTTTGCTTGCCATATGTCATAAATCCACCTAGGGGTCACGTCAGTTCATGGGTCACTGTAGATTCTTCTTTGGCTTCGTTGGCTAAAATCCCATATTTTCCTTGCTTCCGAGCACTGGGATCTTAGGCGGAGACTACTGCAGTAGAGAATCTTTGGTTACACTACACTTACTAGACTCTAGGAAACTATTGTATTTTGGTTTGCCGTTGGCGCCGTGGACTACACAGTGTGACCAAAATCTGTTTGACCACTTTTATCAATTGAAACTGAAACTGTGTTCTCAATGTGTATCTAACAATTTTTAGGCTGCCTAAATTTCTTTTAAACTTTTTTTTGGTGGTTTTTGCTTTATTAAGGCTATATTGATTCCTTGAGGATTTGTTAATGAAGAATTTAATGCACTTTTCCATTTCTATGCGGGCCATTTTCATCAATTTTATGTTTTCTTTTATTAAGAGCAACTTTGTATCTACATTTTTCAATTTGGATACTCTTTCTGTAGAACTTTCCGACCTCTAGGTTTGACTTACATTTGATCACATGTCTTGCTCAAACAAGTTCAATTCATAATATCACTTACCCACTAGTTGCGTCTGTTCGT